AGTATTAAGACGTTTGTCCACTATTTGATACCTACAGTTTCGATGAAGAAGTCAACAGACGAGCGAGGTTTAAGAGAGACATACGGCAGAAGAAAATGAAGGCTGGAGAGTCAAGAAGTGGCTCCTTGTAGGCTACATGGAGCCAACAATGTCTACCTATTGTCAAGAAACATTGAGGTGAGTAAGATGAACGACGGATAATGAAGCGCTAGGAGAGAGAAGAGTGACCAGCAATAGAGTTTGGGCTAAGCCTTCAGTAACTAGTGGATCCTACGGTGGCACATAATAGGTTGGCAAACCATCTGAGCTGTAGAGCAAACATTCCAAGTGAATGAATATTGTAAGAAGGGAGCGACTCCCACAGAGCTCCGGATATCCGCAGAGTTAAATGGAGGCTAACTGCTGCTAAGCAGAGATATTGGCTCTGGAAAAGAGTGAGCCAGTGGCTGGTGTAGCCATAGTATTAAGACGTTTGTCCACTATTGGATACCTACAGTTTCGATGAAGAAACCAACATGCGAGCAAAGCTTTAGATAGACAGACGGCAGAAGAAAATGAAGGTTGGAGAGTTAGAGAGTGGCTACTTGAAAGCTACATGGAGTCCACAATGACTAGCTGCTGTCAAGAGGAGTTGTTGCGAGTGGGACGTACGGCACAAAACGGCGCGCAATTAGAGAGAAGAGTGACCAGCAATATAGTCGGACTGAGCCTTCAGTTACTAGTGGATCCCACGGTGGCACTTAATAGGTCCACAAACCATCTGAGCTGTGACGCAAGCAATCTAAGAGAATGAACATTGTAAGAAAGGAGCGACTCCTACGGAGCGCCGGATATCCGCAGAGTTAAATGGAAGCTATGTCGACTAGCTGCTGCTAAGCAGAGATAGTGGCTCTAGGAAAGAGTGAACCAGTGGCTGGTGTAGCCATAGTATTAAGACGTTTGTCCACTATTGGATACCTACAGTTTCGGTGAAGAAATCAACATGCGAGCGAAGCTTAAGAGAGACAGACGGCACAAGAAAATGAGGGTTGGAGAGTCAGGGACTGGCTACTTGTAAGCTATATAGAGCCAACAATGATTAGCTATTGCCAAGAAGAGTTGACCAGAGTAGGATAACGGCGCGCTAGAAGAGAGATGGATAGCCAGAATTGGAGTTCGGATTAAGCCTTTGGTTACTATTGGATCCTACGGTGGCATATAATAGGTCAACAAAACATCTGAGCTGTGACGCCAGCAATCCAAGAGGATGAACATTGTAAGAATGGAGCTACTCCTACAGATGTACCTGTGGGAATCTCGGGAATAACGGGCAACGGACAAGAGGTGGCCAAACAGAGACAGAAATGAATCAAGAAACAATAACACAGACTGGTGGCGCCCACCGGTGCCTATGATACATTCAAACTTATGTAATTTTGTTTAGTATACATAATTCGCAAGCGCGTTCTATACATTACGTCGCTGGTGTGACTCAGACTACAGCTACTACGTGGGAAAAAGATTCTGCACGCGCAGAGTCAAAAGACCGATACAACAAAGCGTTTTAACGAAAGATAAGCGAATGATGCGATGGTTTTAGAGAAACAGGTAAACCGATGATGATGGCAGAAGCCAGAATGCGAGAGACATCTTAGGTGAAACTGAGGACAACTAGGTTGAGACCAAATGCGGGAGCAAGACAGGTAGAGCAACATTCCAAGAGGAAAAGGAATTTCAAGGAATCGGCTAGGAGCGGATGAATGCTGACGGCAATACGAGGAGTAGCTCGTAAGAGTAATTACACTAAAGCGCTCATGATTCTACAGTCCAAAAGCCTTCAGAAGCTAGGAAAATGGTCACAGGGGGCCAAAACTGCCGTGCATTGGGTGTCGTTATGACACGTACGGTCTCAATAGTATACCAGTGCGATCATGAGGTAAAGAGCATAGGAATGGGAAGAGTGGTAAGTTGAGCATACTAATGGAAGTACTAGTCAAGCAACAATTAGCAATGGTTCGAGTGCCGCCAATACTCAGGAGCGAGCTCAGAGCGAATGAGATCATGCGCACGAGGATAACTTGGATAGGCGCAATGAGTGTAAGCTGTGGGAATCCAAATTGGAGCGCAATAAGAGAAAAGGCCAAGGATAATAGGAAATAAAAGCAGGCGGAAAGTTACAGACGGGTCAGGTGATAGAGGATAACGGCAGTACAGTAAAGCCGGACACCCGAGTTAAAAAGAAATGAAAACAGAAGCGAGAGAAGAAAAAGTTAGGGTCGGGATGAGAAGGGTTTATTGGTAAGGAGTGGAAAAGCCCACGATCGGCTTCTTGTTCTCCGGATTCATTCAGACTTCTGAGACGTTGCCACTTCTGGTTCGGTTGACCTAATTGACTGTACAAATGCCTTCGGTGGCCTTGTTAAATTTTACACCCTTTAACAATAAAACCGTCCTCACCCTTACCCGAGACGTTATTACTCTAGGCTCTATATTACAAACACTTTGTTCCCCTCGTCCCGAGACTTTCCCTGACATGCTATCTGACTTTTCATATGGACGCTGCCATCCCTAATGCTTTTTATCTTATGACAAACGTTACTGCATATTACTACATATTTCACTCTTTGAGCTAATATTCTAATCTCGTATCAGTGGTCTCTGCTTCCTACTACTGTGACCCTAATGATTAGGGATGGGCAGACATATCGGTCTGCTCACATCTCCCTGAAAACATCGCTTTTCCACTTCATCTCAATAGAGCGCTTCCCTGTTCGCACTCTGCGTTACTTTTTCAATTGGACGGATATCCCTTCGGGCCTGGCTCTAATCTACCCTTGGCTGACCAGCCCCGTTTCTGACTGCTTCCCGACTTCCGAGCCATTATTACTCTAGCTCTGCGTTCCAAAATCTCTGTTCCCCCAACCCCCTGAAGTCCTACCCGAACGGCCTCCTGCTCTCCGGATTTATCCAGACTTCTGAGACGTAATCTCTCTTAGTTCGGTTGACTCAACTACCTGATTAGATTACCTGGAGAGCTTCGTGGGTTTTTCCCATATTTTGTCAAAAAACATTTCCCATCCTGACCCCAAATCTTATTATCGCGCTGTGCTTTCATTTCTTCAATTGGAGTGCACGATCTTACTGCTCTGTGGTGATTTAGTCCCCCTGACTTACCTCTTTCTCTTTTATGCTCCAATGCTACTCTGACTTAAGTGGTATGCGCTATGCTGATTCAACGATCTTGTCCCCCCACCTGGAGATTCTGCTTGACTTGCTCAACCTCTATTGTTGCGGACCTTTTCCTGCCTTTAATTTTACGTGCTATTCCCACGTGCCGACTAATCTAGTCTAGCTAGATCAGCCACTTGTATTCAGTTTTACTTAGAGTTATTCCAAGTTACAAACCTTGGTACGGTTGACTCGACGTCTTGCTCACATCACCTGGAAAGCCTCGTGGGATCCCTCACTACTTATCAGTAAACCTTTTCATCCCGACCCTAACATTTTCTCATCTAGCTTTCTTTTTTCATTCCTTTTTTTAATCGGACGACCAGCTTTACTGCCATGCCGTGATCCTGTCTCACTGGACTAGTCTGTTAATCTCTGACTGCTTCCATGATACCGAGCCTTGAACGGTATTGGCTCCGCTGAGTATACTCTACTAACCCTTCTCTGAGGGACTTTTAAACTGGTACTCTCATTATCGTTATAGCCTCTTTCTTATCTGTATTTTACGACCTAGTCCTAAAGCGCCGATTAATCCAATACCGCTTAGTCGGCCTCGTATTCACTGAATTCATTTGGACTTCTGAGACATCACTTCTATTGGTTTGGCTGACCTAATGGTGCTGTTTACACTACTTGGAGAGCCTCGTGGGCTTTCCACTCTTTACCAATAAACCCTTCTCACATCGACCCTAACCTTTTCTTCTCTCGCTTTCTGTTTTCAATCCCTTTCTTATCGGACGTCCGGCTTTACTGCATTGCCGTGATATTGGCTCACTTGCCTAGTCTGTTTCCCTCAGTCTGCTACTATGCTATTAAGACCTACGCGGTATGCGCCCCGTAGTCTTAACATGATGTTTCCCTTAAATTTAGAGCCTGCTTGACTTGCTCACCATTTACTGCTGGCTCCTTTCTTACCTTTACTACATGTCCTTATCCACACGCGCCGACTAATCAAGTCCTACCCGATCGGCCTCCTGCTCTCCGGATTTATTCAGACTTCTGAGACGTCACCTCTCTTGGCTCGTCTGACTCTACTATCCCTTTACATTACCTAGAGAGCCTATTGGACTTCTCTTACCCATCGTGAATAAACCCTTCTCATCCTGTCGCTAACTTATGTTTTATCGCGCTCTGTTCTCAATTGTTCTTCAACTGGCGGTGTGGTGATCTAGTCCACCGATCAGTTTCCTTCTCTCTGATTGCTGATGTGCTACTCTGACTTAAGTGGTATACGCTATACAGACTCAACGCTCTTGATCCCTTACTACGTGAGGCTGCTAGACTCGTTCACCTTCTGTTACAGCCTCTTTTCCTGCCTTTAATTTTACGTGCTATTCCTACGCGCCGACTAATCTAGTCTCGCTTGATCAGCCACTTGTTTCCACTTTTACTTAGAGTTATTCCACGTTACAAACCTTGGTTCGGCTGACTCGACGTCTTGCTTACATCACCTGGAAAGCCTCGTTGGCTCCCTCGCTCCCTATCAGTAAACCTTTCCCATACCGACCCTAACCTTTTCTTATCTCGCTTTCTCTTTTCATTCCCCTTATTAATCGGACGACCAGCTTTACTGCCCTGCCGTGATCCTGTCTCACTGGACTAGTCTGTTAATCTCTGACTGCTTCCATGATACCGAGCCTTAAACGGTATTGGCTCCGCTGAGTTAACTCTACTACCCCTACTCTGAGGGGCTTATAGACTGGTACCCTTATAATTGTTATAGCCTCATTCTTATCTGCATTGTATGACCTAGCCCTAAAGCGCCGATTAATCCAATACTGCTTAGTCGGCCTCTGTAACGTCCACCGTGAACGTTGAATAACGCGTAGCCAAAGATCCCGAAATCAAAACAAGTTGGATCACAAATACTACGGTACTATTAAAATATATACAGCTGATAATTGGGACATACTTCAATTGTTCAGTATCCCGGTGTATGCAAATTGACAACGTGTCAGTAAACAATAGGGAACGATAGGGAACGAGTTGTCTCCGCTGGACAATCCAAGGCAAGTCACCGCACCTGAGTGCTACGAGTATTTAGGCTAATGGTGTTGACCAATCAAGGGATACTCCAATCACAGGGTGAGAGTTTAATGGCATGCATAAACATGGTATTTGGACAAGCGACCAGTGAATGGGGGAGGGTTGCGAGACATGTCCGGGCTGAACGTGTCCTGTTCGGCGAAGAGTAGGGTTGGAGATCCAAGGTCGTCGGTAGACGCACACGCACGGAACCAGTGCCGGTGATCAGCATGCACACACAGACACACATACAACGCTAACAATGGGAAAGTAAGGAGGCACACGTGAACGCTGGTCGATATCCATCAACGACCGGCCAAGCTGTGCAGACTAGACCACGAAGCGAAGAGTAGAAGAATTTCATGGGTAAATAAGTGCGTTACACTGCCTCCGAAATTCTTCTGCGATTGACGTCTCGTACGTCCCCGACTCCACTCTGGCTCTCGGTCCTACAACTGCCTACAGTAGCGCTCCTTAGAAAAACAGAAGGGAAAGCAACACAACCACACGAGAGCGTCTTGGCAGGAGCCGTTTTCCATGACTCCCACCAAGCGCCGTTCGTGGGCGTCTGTGGGCATCGAAGCGCTTGGGTGAAAGCCGTTTTCCATGACTACCACCCTGCACTCCAAGCCAGACTTAAGCGCTGCTATTCATCGCCCTCCAGGCGGCACACCTTTCTGACATCTCTTTTTACTATACCTGAGTTCGTTCTAATGTACACCGTCCTTACTAAACCGTCATTGCTGGCTTCACAACTCACGACTCGACCCAGCGGCCAACAACCCCTTGGTAGTTTCTCGGAAGCCACCAACACTAATTCGTCTTTTTCTACAGACTTGGTCGGAAGCTGCCACTTCTGTCGAGATTGTAATGTTGTTATGTATTCTTTTAGCCATCTCCTTTTTAATATACCTGGTTTCCAGCAGCGAGCCTGATCTGTGGATAACTTCAGAAATTTGTACGGCAGGGGCTTCGGTAGGGCACGGACTATATATTCTAGGGTGGTGGAGGAGTCTACATCTGCCTCATAGTTCCTTTGTTTCAATGTGATGTGGCAGTTCTCCATCTTAATGGCTAATTCCGACATGGCATATGCGTTGTTGGGAATGGACTTCGCGCCTTGAAGTAGGACTTCTATAGATGCCCTAGTAATGTAGTGTGCTTGCCCGAAGAGGTCTCGACGGATACATCGAGCTCTTTCATAACCCTGACCGGGCGGCAGCATTACGTAGCTGCCAATAGTCAGTCTAACTCGTCCCTTACAGTAATGAATAAGGTAGAGCAGACGTCTTCCGTCATCTACCACCTTGCTCTCCACATAGAACTCAAAATGCTTGACGAACCTCCAGTAGTCAGCTGGGTGCCCATCGAAATAAGCCAGCTCTACTTTGGGGAGACCAGCTTCCGCAATAATTGGGACGAGAGCGGACGCTATAGCGTTTCCCAACGTGTCAGTGTGGGGGTCAATTGGCAAATCGTCATAACAACCGGCGGATGGTTGATTCGCAGCCACCGCAGCACATGCCGTGACAAACTCGTCAACTCTGTTTGACGAACAAATAGGGAGTGCGGGCAGGTCTACATCGCCTTGTTCGTCTTCCAGCAAGGCGCTACGCTGGGCGAATTCGACCTCCTGTCTAGCCTTCAACAGTCTACACTGGGCGAATTCGACCTCCTGTCTAGCCTTCAACAGTCTACGCTGTTTGCTAAGTTCCTGCTCCCTAGTTTCTAGTTCTAGCTCCTCCTTGAGTTGCTTTTCTTTCAACTCAGCAAGCAGGAGCCGTGAGCGCGTACTGCTAACTGAATTACTATAGCTAACCCGAGAGCCAGAGTGAGAGACAGCATCAAGAGTGACTTGCCTTGACTTGGATAAGTCCTTTGTCCGGGTGGATGCGCGGGTGACTGGCATTGCGAAGAGGAACCAATTTGGAAGAATTAAATACTTCCGGATACGAGTACCACCAACCGAGGGATCCAATTAAGCAATCCGTCGAAGCGAGAACCAAATTGAATACTTCCGCCGATAATTGAATACTGTAACGTCCACCGTGAACGTTGAATAACGCGTAGCCAAAGATCCCGAAATCAAAACAAGTTGGATCACAAATACTACGGTACTATTAAAATATATACAGTTATTTATTGGGACATACTTCAATTGTTCAGTATCCCGGTGTATGCAAGTTGACAACGTGTCAGTAAACAATAGGGAACGATAGGGAACGAGTTGTCTCCGCTGGACAATCCAAGGCAAGTCACCGCACCTGAGTGCTACGAGTATTTAGGCTAATGGTGTTGACCAATCAAGGGATACTCCAATCACAGGGTGAGAGTTTAATGGCATGCATAAACATGGTATTTGGACAAGCGACCAGTGAATGGGGGAGGGTTGCGACACATGTCCGGGCTGAACGTGTCCTGTTCGGCGAAGAGTAGGGTTGGAGATCCAAGGTCGTCGGTAGACGCACACGCACGGAACCAGTGCCGGTGATTAGCATGCACACACAGACACACATACAACGCTAACAATGGGAATGTAAGGAGGCGCACATGAAAGCTGGTCGATATCCATCAACGACCGGCCAAGCTGTGCAGACTAGACCACGAAGCGAAGAGTAGAAGAATTTCATGGGTAAATAAGCGCATTACAGCCTCGTAATCACTATATTCATTTGGACTTCTGAGACATCACTTCTATTGGTTCGGCTGACCTAATGGTGCTGTTTACACTACTTGGAGAGCCTCGTGGGCTTTTCCACTCTTTACCAATAAACCCTTCTCACCTCGACCCTAACCTTTTCTTCTCTCGCTTTCTGTTTTCAATCCTTTTTTAATCGTAAGTCTGGCTTTACCGCATTGCCCTAATCCTGGATCACCTGCCTGCTCTGTTTCCCTCAGTCTGCAACTATGCTACTAAGACTACGCGGTATGCGCCCCGTAGTCTTATCATGATGTTTCCCTTAAATGTAGCGCCTGCTTGACTTGCCCACCATCTAATGCTGGCCCCTTTCTTACCTTTACCACATGTCCTTATCCAAACGCGGCGACTAATCAAGTCTTACTCGATCGGCCTCCTGCTCTCCGGATTCATTCAGACTTCTGAGACGTCGCCTCTCTTTGTTCGTCTGACTCCACTATCCCTTTACATTACCTAGAGAGCCTCGTGAACTTCTCCCACCCATCGTCAATAAACCTTTCCCATTCTGACCCAAAACCTTATTATCGCGCTCTGCTTTCATTTCTTTAATTGGATTGCACGATCTTACTGCTCTGAGGTGATCTAGTCCCACTGATTTGCCTCTTTCTCTTTTATGCTCCAATGCTACTCTGACTTAAGTGGTATGCGCTATGCAGACTCAACGCTCTTGTCCCCCTACCCGGAGATTCTGCTTGACTCGCTCAACCTCTATTGTTGCGGACCTTTACCTGTCTTTAAATTTACGCGCTATTCCTACGCGCCGACTAATCTAGTCTCGCTAGATCAGCCACTTGTTTCCAGTTTTACTTAGAGTTATTCCACGTTACAAACCTTGGTTCGGCTGACTCGACGTCTTGCTCACATCACCTGGAAAGCCTCGTGGGATCCCTCACTACTTATCAGTAAACCTTTCTCATACCGACCCTAACCTTTTCTTCTCTCGCTTTCTGTTTTCAATCCCTTTCTTATCGGACGTCCGGCTTTACTGCATTGCCGTGATATTGGCTCACTTGCCTAGTCTGTTTCCCTCAGTCTGCTACTATGCTATTAAGACCTACGCGGTATGCGCCCCGTAGTCGTAACATGATGTTTCCCTTAAATTTGGAGCCTGCTTGACTTGCTCACCATTTACTGCTGGCTCCTTTCTTACCCTTACTACATGCCCTTATCCACACGCGCTGACTAATGAAGTGCTACCCGATCGGCCTTCTGCTCTCCGGATTTATTCAGACTTCTGAGACGTCGCCTCTCTTGGCTCGTCTGACTCTACTATCCCTTTACCTTACCTAGAGAGCCTATTGGACTTCTCTTACCCATCGTGAATAAACCCTTCTCATCCTGTCGCTAACTTATGTTTTATCTCGCTCTGTTCTCAATTGTTCTTCAACTGGAAGTGTGTAGCGACCTGGAGATTCCCCCGTATGACTGTGTAAACTATTCTAAAATATTTAAATTATAGCTTTCTCATGTATTAGGGAACTATTCGGTTTGCCAGTTGGAACGTTGTTCCCGTTTGTTCTAAACACGAAGACGATCTCGGCCTTTGGCGCGCGACTCGACTGCGAACGACGCTCTGTCAACGCACTCGACGCCAACGACATTCTCCCTAGCTAGCTCTCTCTGGGTGCCCTATTTTTAGCATTAGCTAACGCTCCTCCCGTCCAATAAACTTTTCCCTAGCTTACTGTTGTGTCTTCTATCCATTATTATTGGTTGGCCGTCTAGTCGCGTACCGAGTTTATAGCGCACGATCTACGCGCTATAATTGGTGACCCCGAAAAAAACTATTTTTGGTGAGTTCGGTACTAATATTTTTTTCAGATCCGGTTATTTATTCTGTCTACCTTTCTACTTTTTCTCTTTACTATTTGTGTTCACTTTCACACGCTCCGGAATTATTTCACCATGTAGGTCCGTCGTGCAGTTTCTGACGATCAGGTTTGTGGGTTCCGTTTCTCTCTCCCGCCTTTCCGAGAGACTAACCCTAAAGCCTAATTTAACCAGCTAGAGTCCATTTTTTCGTTACATGGCGTTAACTCTGACAGCGTCAAATTTCACTGCGTTGTCGCCGCGCTTCCCCCGCAAGTCGTCGATGACCTCGACGACATCTTGGAACTTCCGGAACATCAGAAAAGTTACGATGAGCTTAAGGCCGTCGTCTTAAAGCGATTTGGCATATCAGACCATGCTCGCGTCACGCAGCTTCTTAATGAAACCGAGCTAGGTGATCGAAAGCCTTCGCAGTTGCTGCACAAGATGCAAGCTCTAGCTAAGCCTCTCGCTGTTGGCGACTCTTTCCTTAAAGAGATGTGGCTTCGTTGCCTGCCACGTGACATGCGCAATCCCTTGTATGCAAACGATGCGCCTCTTCCTCAGCTCGCCGATATTGCCGACCGTATTTGGGAATCCAACGCCCAAATATCTCAGGTTCAGTCTACCTCCAGTACAGAGGTAGCAGAACTAAGAGCGCAAGTATCCGCATTGACCAACCGACTAGAGAAGCTAACACAATCCGGATCCAACCGTTGAAATCGTCCCAGTAGTCGCAGTCCTCCTAGATCACGTTCGAAATCTCCCCTAGGTCAAGCTATTGCTGGTACCACGAGCGATTTGGTCATCAGGCCAGATCGTGTCGCCCACCTTGTTCTTTCAAGCGCAACATGCAGGGAAACGGGTAGGCCAGCACGTAGGGGCGACGGACGTTGCTGGCTGCCCCAGTCGCCTTTTCTTTGTCACCGATCGCAGTACGGGAGTACGCTATCTCGTTGACACCGGCGCAGAAGTCAGCGTTATCCCACGTGATTCTAATGACGTTATCGAAGAGGCGACCGGTTCTTTGCGCGCTGCAAACAGCACCACCATTCGCGTGTATGGTCAACGCTCGCGCACGCTTAATCTAAACCTACGACGTTCATTTAAATGGATCTTCCTCGTCGCAGATGTCCAGACGCCAATTCTTGGCCTTGACTTTCTGCAGCACTTCGATTTACTTGTTGACGCGAAGCAACGCCGTCTGATCGACCGTCAAACAAACCTGGCAGTTATAGGTACTTTGACTGACATAGAGTCAATCAGTCCTGTATACGCCAACCTGTCAAGCTTGCCTATCGGTCAGATGCTTAATACGAAGTTCCCGAAAGTCTTTCGTGCAATGACACCGTTTTCATCCGCCACTGAGGCCGCGAAACATTATATCGTCACGAAAGGTCCGCCTGTTTTTGCCAAAGCCAGGCGAATGACCCCTGACAAGTTGAAAATTGCTCGCGCAGAATTCGAGCACATGCTTGAACTAGGCATCGTTCATCCGTCTAACAGTCCCTGGGCGTCGCCGCTCCACATGGTGCCCAAAAATTCAGGAGACTGGCGTTCATCTGGTGATTACCGCGCGCTCAATAACGTTACTGTTCCCGACCGATATCCGATTCCTCACATTCAGGACATCACGGCAAGCCTGCGCGGCACCCGTGTGTTCTCGAAAATTGATCTGGTTCGCGCGTATCACCAGATTCCAGTCGCTGAGGAAGACATACCGAAGACTGCTGTAATCACGCCGTTCGGGCTGTTCGAATTTTTGCGTATGCCGTTCGGTCTTCGCAACGCAGCCCAGACTTTTCAACGACTCATCGATTCAGTCACAAGAGGTCTAAATTTCGTCTATGCATACCTCGACGATATCCTAGTTGCCAGCGCTTCTGAAGAACAGCACGCAGAACATCTCAAAATACTTTTCGATAGGCTGGCCGCTAATAGCATCACTGTCAACCCTGACAAATGCATATTTCAGCAGCCTTCCGTCGAATTCCTTGGCCACCATATTGCTCAGTATGGTATACGGCCTCTAGACGATAGAGTCCGCGCCATCAGAGACTTTCCGGCTCCGACTACGTTAGCCGCTATTCGCCGTTTTAACGGCGTGCTCAACTATTATCGACGTTTTCTTCCACACTGTGCCAATTTGCTAAGTCCACTAACCGACCTACTTCGTGGACGTAAAAACGGCAAGGTGGAATTGACTGCTGCTGCCGCCGAAGCATTCAAGGCCAGCAAAGAAGCCTTAGCTAAAGCCGTTATGCTTCATCACTTCGATCCGAACGCTCCGCTTAGTGTTGCTGTCGACGCATCGGACACCGCCATTGGCGCCGTCCTACAGCAACATACAAATGGAGACTGGAAACCACGTGCCTTCTACTCTAGACGCCTACAGCCTGCCGAACTGAAGTACCGCAAGTTAAGTCGCGAACTGCTGGCCGTTTAAATAAATAAATAAATAAATAAATAGGTGTATTTCTAGACCTGCTAGAGGCTGCACCCTAAAGGGTTCAGATCAATGCTTACATTTATCCGATGCTCTTGCATGGAAGTTGGCAAAATATATGTTCATCGTTAGCAATTGCAAATGCATTGGCAATTGACATTCTTCTGGTTCCTTCGGGCGATATTGAGCTCCTTGTCTTTTATTGTGAAAAACTTCGCGGAGTTGTGCCTTTTCTCCTTGGAACAGAATCCAATTTGCCACAAGTTCACTTTAAATTGATCGCACAATAATTGGCCACTCAGTTGCCCCAATTGTTGTTGCGCACATGGAAGAAATGAATGAAGGGATTATAAGGCATACGAAAAGTTAAAAACAATTCCGATAAATGCAGACATAAATAGAAGCAATTTGTTAAGAGAGAAAATAAATCTGCGTGCTTCAGTAGAAAAATACCAATTAACAAAAAAATATAGCCCTACTTTTCTTACGCTGATATTGCTCTCCGGCGCAAAATTTCAACCTGAGTTATTCTCAGATAAAAGAAAAAGCCTTTCTACAGTTAGAATACCGCTTAAAGTAGCACAAAATTA